CGACTCGACGGCACACAACAACTATAAAGAAGCGTGGTCAAGCAGACTTGAGGCTGTAAATCGCATGAGAGGAGACTGTCTATTTTTCTCCTGCACAAACATTGGTGGATTCAGTCCTCCAGAGAAGATGGCCTCTGGGTTAACATTGCGACTGTGAGATACCTGAAGACACAGGAAAGCCAGGTGTGAAGCTGCCACGTGAAGACTGGATATACCTGCAAAGAAAGAGGCCATGGTGTGTACAATGGAGATTCTTCACCTTTCCTGGGCCTCAGGATTTTGTTTACAACAGACTCGGGGCCCATGTACAGAGTGGCTGTGTGTATTTAAGGGGCCTGCAGAACATGCAGTGCTGTTGACGCTGCTGGTCCCAGACCACACGCCGAGACACCGAAAATTCCTGCTCTCCTGGTTCTTCTCCATGATAAGGAGTCTGATTTTTATTCCAAATAAATAAGAAGTCACTGGAGCATGTTAAGAACAGAATGATTTCTAAACTGATCCTAGGCTGAAGGACGGCTGAAGTGGAACAAGATGGAAAATAGGAAGCTCGGCTGGGCACTAGGAGCACAGTGGATGCCAGAAGGGACGGCGCCCTGAGCTAGGGCAGGACCTGCGGAGGTCGTAAGATGTGGACAGATTCTGATAAATTTAAGGAATGCTGACAGAGTTTGCAAACAGACCACGTGTAAGAATGAGGACAGGAAAAACCAGTGGCAAGGCACTGGCTTGACAACTGTCTCCATGGAGAACTCCACGGAGTGGGGAATCAGAAATCCTCCTTCAAATAGATTCCAGTTTTTACAAATCTGTTAATTGTACTTATTTTGCCTTCAAGTCCAGTCAAGACAGAACTGACTCATGGGTAGCCCTTCAGCAGGTTTTCAGAGACACCAAGTTGCACAGGAGGACACTGCCTGTCCTCCTGTGGAGCAGCAAGTGGATTCGAGCTACGTACCTTTTGGGATTGCAACATAGCTTCTTACCTGGAGGTCACCAAGCTCCCTTGTCATACGATTGTAAATATCAAGTACGTGTTTGGGTATATAAATCTTGAGTTCCAAAGAATAACAAAACTTTGGAAGGCATTAATCACATCAATAAATATATAACTTGCTTTAGAAAGTGCCTGAAGGCATGTTGGACTGCCTTGCCTGGTGGTGAAGGGGACTTCTGGTATCTACTGGATGGAGGCTGAGGACATTGCTAAATATCATTAAACACATAGAGGAGTTTTCATTATCCGACTAAGATTATCCTAACTAAAAGGTCCAATATTGTTGAGATTGAAAAAGTATGGAATATGTATTTTTTTAAAAAATCTTATGTGAAGGGACAGTAAACTATAAAGACATTTCTCAGCCATATAATTACTTGGTAAATATTAACACTTAGTTCCCCAATTAAAAAATGCTTAATATGGCATTTCACCAAGCGAGAAATAAATTTTAAAAATATGACAAATCAATTACACAACAGCATTAAATTTATACTGGCTGTTAAATGTGTAAAATTTAAAAAACTAATAATTTTGGCTTGCATGGTTTGACAATCAATACTCTTGGCACCATCAGTTAGGAAATCAAAAGACAAATCACATTAGAAAAATCTGCTGTCAGAGACCTCTCCAGAGTACAGAAGAGCAATGATGCTGGTCTAGACTAAGGTGCTCCTGATCCCGGCCATGGTCTTCACAATTACTTCCTATGTATCAGAGAGCTGGACAATGACTATGGATGACAGAAGAATTGATGCTCTAGAGAAGAGTCTTCAACATACCATGGACTGCTGAGAGAACAAACAGGTCTGTCCTGGAGAGGGTGTAACCAAGTTTCTCCTTGAAGGCATAAAGTTTGAAGCTCCATCTCACATATTTTGGGTGTGGTGCCAGGAGGGGCCAGTCCTTGGAGAAGGATATCATGCTCCGAAGAGTAAAGGGACAGTGCAGGAAAGGAAGACCCTAAATGAGATGGATTGTCACAGTAACTGGGATAATGAGGTTAGGTGTGTTAAAGACAGTGAGACTGGTTCAAAATAGGGCAAGGTTCAGAGCTACTGTGTGTAGGGTAACTGTGAGTACCAAGCAACTCCTCAGTTCATAACAACAACAACAACAACAGCAACCATTAAATACTGTAAAATAACTAAGAAGAAAATTTAAACTATTATTAAATGGACTATAAAAGTGAAAGCATATAGTAGTTTTTTCCCTTGAGAGAAATGAGGTAAACCCAGTATTAAGAACTTGAAAGGAAAATATCTGAGATTTTTTTTTCCCTAAAAAAAAGAAATTTGGTGACGGTTTAAAAAGAGATTGGTTTCCTTCCTTCCTTCCTTCCTTCCTTCCTTCCTTCCTTCCTTCCTTCCTTCCTTCCTTCCTTTCCTTCCTCCCTCCCTCCCTTCCTCCTTCCTTCCCTCCTTCTTTCCTTCCCATTCATGTATTTTCTTCTCCTCTGTCCTCCAATTTCCTTTGTAATGCTTGTCCCGTTCCAAGCTATTATGTGTAGGATTTACAATTGTCCGTTTTATAAAGACCTTCTGCAGTCTTCAGTCATTTTCTGTTGTATCAAGCTACCCACAAATTTTTGTAAGGAACTTTGGTGCCTTTAAGCCTTAGAGTGCTGCGTTGACCAAAATGCTACACATCTTTTGTTGTTGTTCCTGGTTGAAAAAGATGGCTGGTCTCCTTCCATAATAATTTACAGCTTTGGCAATCCAACGGAGTGTTTAGATGAGTCAGAATTAACTCATTGGCACTGGACTTTCAGTTATCAATCTATGAACATATGCACGCACATATTCATATGCTCGCACATATTCATATGCTCATATGTGAGAGATGAATGGAATAGGTTAGCTCTATAAAGTACTAAAAAATACAAAACCTGAGTAGACGGAAGAAGAAATCTAGAATATGAGTAGAGATTCATTAATTTGGAGGATGGGTTTAGAGTAAAAAAAATCCCTTTTAAATGAAAAAAGTCTAAGAATGTGAGGAAATAAGATGATTTCAAGTGAGTGCAATGAAATCCTGTTTTTCTGGGGAAGAGGGAATTCCAATATCAAGAATGATCCTAATATCCTTCAGCTTCTACAATAAAACAGGCTGTCTATTATTATAACTCTACTCATCAGGGATTTTCAAATAAGGTCTCTAAAGCATTCGTTTTTCTGGAAATGACCACTGAGTGCAGTTTGAAAGCTGGGCAGGACATATTCCCAGTAGAGCGAGCAATTTTCTAACACATCATGGAATCCTATCTTCTTCCGAAGACTGCAGGCAAGGCTTCATAGAGAGTTAGTATCAATGCTTTCGCTGTTGCTACTCAAACTCATTATTGATTGTTGTTCGGTGCTGTGGAGTATGACTCATAGTGAACCTATGAACAACAGATCTGAATCCTGTCCTATCCTGTGCCAATGTCACCATCTCTGATACACTAGGGCCCACTACTGCAGCCACCTTGTCAATTCAGCTCAATGGAGATCTTCCTCTCTTTCACAGACCCTTCAATTTCCCAAGTATGAGATTCCTATCCAATGAATAGCCTCTCCTAGCAACATGACACAAGTATGTGGAAGAAAGTTTCATCAACTTTGTCTCCAAGAAGCACTGTTTGCTCCTCTCCCAAGACATATCTGTTTGGGTTTTTTGGCAGTCCATAAGATATTTCATTCTCTTCTCCAACACCACAACACAAAGGAATCAATTCTTCTTCTGTTATTCATTGTCCAGCTCTCAATGCACAGTAAGAAATGGAAAAGACCATGGACCAAATCAGCCACACCTTAGTCTTCAAACTGACATCATTGCTCTTCTGTACTTTGGAGGTGCCATCAAGATGGCCCAAAGTCGTAGCAACTCCATGAACAACAGGTAAAAACCTTGCCATATCCTGTGCCAGCCTCATAAGCTTCTCTGTGCTTTGGTCCACTGTTGCAGTCACCCGGTCAATCCATCTCATTGAGGGTCTTCTCCTTCTCTGACCCACCATTGTTCTAAGCATGATGTCTTTTCCCAGGGACTGGCCTCTTCTGACAACATGACCAAAGTATGTGAGACGCTCCTGTGCCTCCAAGGAGTATGCTAACTGCATGTCTTTCAAATCAGATTTGTGTTTGGCTGCTGCTAGTTCACGGTACATTCAATATTCTTTATCCGCATCACAATTCAAAGGTGTCAATTCTTCTTCAGTCTTCCTTATTCACTACGGCGGGTATATCAGAGGGTAAGCATATGAAGGCATGAGGAAAAGAACATAGAAAAAATCCAAACTTTGTAAGAACAAGATTTCACTGGGAAAATAGAATAGATAAGAGAGATACAAGCTCTTAAGAGACATTCTGCAATTAACAGACAAAGATGCTTAGAACCATAAAGACGCTATATAACCATAAGATTATAAAGATGCTTATAATGATTATGACCTATGAGGACATATTTCTTATTAAGCTGCCATTACAGTGAATCTAATCACAATGCACATAAAAAGAAAAATTATTTCCAACATAAAGATGATGTTTTAAACCACAGATACCAAACTCAACACACCACCATCAAATTGGAAAGGACTCACAGGTGAGTCTCCACTGGGTTTCTGAGATTCTAAATCACCGGGTAGGAGACTGCACATCTATTTCACGTGCTCCTAGTGGAGTCACACAGCCAGAGAGGTAAAACCTTTAAACTAGAAGCACATTTCCCTTTGAATTCAATGAGAATTACCTTCTAAAAAGGAAGACCAATTGGCCAGTGCCATTCATACTTAATTGCCAATAAAATATATACTTGAGAAGAATGACAGGGTCAGCTAGGATGACCTTTTGTATATCCCTTACTCAGTCTTTCACGGCTTGGTTTCTTAATTGAGAGATTCATGAGAAATTACAGGTACATGACTTTCCACAACTTATGAACACAAAGTTCACACTCTCTCAGCCTTAACTCTGAATCCAAAGATCTGAAAACAGTGCTACCTCAGACACAGGAGGCTGATCACTCACCCTTCCCAGTTCTTTATCTTCAAGGGCCAGGACACCAGTGCTTTCTGTGAAGAGTTTTACTTTGACCACAGGTCGAGGATGGGTAGTGGTGAAATCTCCTTGGGTTCCCCATCTGCAATGAAGGAAGAAAGCTTCCCTTTAAAATACAGCATTACTAGTATTATTTTTCAGATAACAATGTCGTTGGACTTGAGCATGGTTAAGAGCAGGAGGAGGGCAAAGGATAGAGCAAGGTTTTGATTTTCTATTCACAAGGTCATTATCAGTGACCAGACAACAACATGTCTTCATAGGAAGGCAGAATAGGCAATACAGAACCCTCGGTGGGTCAACGACATTTTCATCTTTGCTTTGTTCTGACAGATAGCACAGCCAAGAAGAAAAATAACAACAAACACTATATTTTACAGCTTGTCAGCATTACTAATCTCTTAAAAATCCAGTAGCAGGAATATAGGTGATGATCAAGAATTCTAGACATGGCTACTGAAGTGTATTAGTTTCAAAGAGAAAATTAAAACATGTTTGCATGATTGAGGGGAACAGTCACACATAAGGGGTAGTTTCTGAGAAAACTATCTGCATATCAAAGATTTTCCTCTGTCTCTTCTTGGACAATCTATACTAGATATTCTGTTTATTCCTTTAAAAATATGTAGAGGTAATTACTTCGGATCTATTACTTGATAGGATTTTTTAAAACTTGTGTCAAAAAGAAAGAAATATGCATCATTAAAATAAGAACATTTTGCAGTTAATTTCCCAATATGCTCTCTGAGGAATGGAAGAAGTCTGTCGACATCTGGCTTTTCAAATCATCCTAACAAAAATAACATGTTTTCCTGGCTTATCTTTTAATTAATAGCATCTTGTCTTTACCACACACCAAATTCATTCTAGCTTATTTACAAACTTAACCGACACAGACCTTATATTAAAATATCTTAGCTGTTTTTCTCGTAACTATGACAGATTACAAGCAATGAGCCTAAACTCAGCAGGAATAAAATGCTATTGAGCAAAATAACACAGAAGTGGAAGAATATACAATTTTCAACAAAATCAGAATTCAGGTTAAAAATAAGGCACCAAGTAGAAAATATCAATTTTCTTATGCTGTTTAAAATCAAACAGGAGAATAATCTACCATTATCATGGCACTGTCTAAACTATTTTATCTTTTACATATTGTTCAGAAAGCTTAGAAAATACAGAAAAGGGAAGAAAGGAAGCCTCATAAAAGCTGTCTTCGTCTCCTATCACAGAGAGTATGCTATTATAACACAGGTAACAGTGAAGCAAAGAGGCTAGAGATGGAAGACACTAGAACCTATAGATATGGTCCATTCTAAACTAAAGTCAGGAGGCTCTAGCCTAGTGGGGAAAGAGTTGAGCTCCCAATTCAAAAGCAACGGGTTCAACTCTACCAGCTACTCTGAGACCAAAGATGAGTAATCTTCTCTCCTGTAATTTACAGCCTCTGAAAACCCACTGGAGGGTCAGCTTTGAGTTAGTACTGACTTGACAACAATGAAAAAAACGTTTTTAATCTTCAGTCATAAACCAGAATCTCAAATTTGAGAAAAGGGTGAATGAAGAAGAAAAATTACAATTTCACAGAATGAAGAAGGCCGGTGATAAAGGAAAACAAAAACAGAATGAAAAATAAAAGTAGATTCAGAACCAAAAGGAGGAAGTGTGAGGGGAAAAAATGCAGCAACCAACTTTAAATGCTCCAAAGAATGATGCTTAAGCAATTAGCACCACCATCAAACACCTACATTCTAACACAAGCTACTCAGTATTTGGGAGCTCTGGTGGCTTCGTGGGAATGAGCTGTGCTCCAAAGGCAAAGGGTTCAAATCCACTAGCTGCTCCAAGCGAGGAAGATAGGCAGTCTTCTCCAGTGCAGTTTACAGCCTCTGAAAAAAACCCACTGGAGAGTCAGTGTGATAATACATAACGACCACCAGCAGCAGCACCACATCCCTGGGAGAGCTTTTCTTACAGCTGAAATGAAAGACTTTTGTAGTTTCTCAAAGAATGGGTGGACTTTTTCAACTGAATTATCTTCAAAAAACTTCTTTTAAAAATATTAAATCAATCATCAATGTTGCTCCCTTAATTTAGAATACTTTGAAAGTACGATTTTTTTTGCTTTTAAAAATTGTGATTTATGTGAAAGTTACAAGCTTATTGTTTATTTTTTCAACCAAGCATTCGTTAAAACCTGTCATTTATCTTGTTAAAAAAGCTCAAAAGATATAGGCAAAATACTTAAGAATTCAATAAGGAATGAATTAATGCCTCCATCTCCACGACACTCCCCAAAAAGGGTGTGTGCAGAGAGAAGTTGATAACAAGCCTGTCTTCAATATTCATCCTGAGGTTTCCTTGTTTTCTACTTAATTGGCATGTTTAAACACTTTTAGAAATTAGTATCAGTTATTATCTTCCTACTCTTTTCCCTGTATTAAATGACAAAAGAATACATCATCCTTGCTGTCAGTTACCTCTGACTCAAATCTTACCGCCTTTCTCTGTTTCTATGACTATGTCATGTAAGAGGATTCAGACTTCCAGTGTGAATCGTCAAATGAACAGAACATCTACAAAGCTCTTGAAGAGGACAGCAGAACATTCTGGCTCTGGAAGCACGGGAAGTCCATCTACTAACTGAAACAGCTGGCATTAATCAAGAAAGTGCTGTCAAATAAAGTCTATTAGAAATCTGTACCAGGAATCAAACCGGATTACCCTGTCATTCCACCCACTAAGGAAATTTCCAGTAATTTGTCCTCACAAAATAATCCCAAGAATGAAAAGGATGAGTACAAACATACAGACTCTAGTATTATATATAATAGAAAAAAAAATCAAAGCAACTTAAATCCCAATAATAAGGATGGTTATATACATTTCAGGGCATTCAACAGAATCTATTACTGCCTTTTATAACTGTGGTCATATGCCTGGTGGCAAGAGACTGTACTGCAATCCGGAAGGCACGTGGTACAAATCGACCAGCTGGACCGCAGAAGAAGCCTGGGCAACCTCTTCCCGTGTGAATACTACCTCTGAAAACCCTCTGGAGGGACAGCTTCTGATTCAATGATACAGGAAAAAAAACAATATACAGATAATATAAGACACTGTGTGACCCAACATACAGGAAAAAAAGAAACAAGAGATAACATGTATTTTTAACTTATTTATGATTTATTGTGTTGTCTGTGATAGACAATATTCTAGTTTCAATAAGCAAATCTCTTAGTCTTTTAGAACTTATATTCCAATAGAGGATCACAGGCAATAAACAATGTTGCTACTATTACTGAAAGATACCTCTATATAAGGTGTACCGATTGAGGTCATCGTCTTTATAATCACTTGTTATGCATTGGTTTGCTTTTTGTTTTCTTACTAGTTTATTTACAAAATTCTAATACAAGTTCAAACAAATTCTTTCAATTTCCCTCACTCCCTCCATCAAATTGTACAACCCACTGATTTATCCCCTTTTCCCTCTGGACATCCACATCCCTCTGCTTCCAGCCTCTCCCACTCCTCCTGGATCCTTATACTCCTTCTACAATAACGGTCTTACACAATATTTATCCTTGTGGGACCGAGTTAGTCCACTCCGTATGTTCTCCAGTCACTCCCAAGTTAGGCAATAAGTTACAAAGTTATTTCTCCTGCGTGCTGCATAGTATTCCATTGTGTGAATGTACCATAATTTCTCAATAAGAGGCTTTTTAAAATACAACATTCCTGATGGAATATAAGCAGTTCATAGTGTTTCCTAAAAAGATCTTTCTAGAAAGCAGGAAATGCTATATTTTAGGAGCAGCTTTTGGTATTTAGAAAGTTGACCATTTTTAAAGTATTTCACTGGGTCCAAGTGTCTTGCTATTTTATCCAATACTGAAGGACGGAAGCTAAAGTGAAGGGAAGACTGGCAAATAATGTCATTTCCATGGGAACAAGGGTGGCTGGAGACACATTTACTATGATCACACCTGTAGGAGGTGAAGACATTTATTTGGCTGAATTAAAGGATTTTGATTCTAGTGAGATGATAGGAATTCATGTCTGTTCTTCCTAATAGGCTGAGACTGAAGGCACACATTTGGGGGTGATCCAGCTGGTGGTGGTGGTGGGAGAAGCTGTGAGAGTGAATAAGCTTATAATCCCTCCCTCTCTCCCTCCCTCCTTCCCTCCCTCCCTCAGTATTGCTGAGTGGGAACCAATTCATAGCTGATCCTCCACCAGTTTTTTGGAGGCTATAAATCACACGAGAGGAGATGGTCCATCTTCCTCAGAGCCATGGGTAGATTCGAACCACCTGCAGTTGGGCTGGCAGTGCCACTCCTACCCACGAGGCCATGAGAGTGCCCTGAGCTTGTGAAGGGGACTTGGGTACTTATTATTACAGTTTTCTTTTTTTTTTAAGTTTTTAATTTTAAAAAAATTTATTATTTTGTGTGTGTGTACCATCAAATTGGATCTGACTGGTACAGGAGGAGATTACCCCTCCTTCTCCAGCAGAGCATCTGGTGGATTTGAACCGCATACCTCTGGGACTGCAGTGCAGCTTCTGGCCACCAGGCCACTGGAGCTCCCTTATTACAGTTTTTCTGATGGTAATGACCTAAACAAGTCCAGGACTACTTATGGCCATATATTTATATGTTTATGCACATTGCGTATTCATTAGTCATTTTTAAATAGATGAGATTACTCAAAGTGTTCTAGAACTTATCCTTGATATAATAGTTCACCTTCAACTTCTATAAGTATCTCAAAGCGTTCTAGAACTTGTACTTTATGCCAACAGTTCACCTCGAATTTCTACATGTGTGTGGGCAGGGATCTGGACACTTCCCATCTGGATTACAAAGCATTTTCACGTGGGACTGTGCTGTATTTTATTCAACCACCTTCTTGATGGGTCTTTGGATTGATTTTAATTTTGTCAGTTGCAAGCAATGTGGTACATACATCTCCTGTACTCGATAAAACCGTTTTTACATAAATTCTGTATGGGACAGAAGAACAAGGAGAGAATTCTAAGGCAGTCCAAGGTTTAGAATAATTTTTAAACATGAA